AGGTAGTACCGGGCAAACGGCCCCCGAGGAACAGGTTAAAGGTTGAAGGATACAGTGATTGAAAGGTTAATATTTCTTGTCAGAGTGTAAAAGACAGGTTTAAACAAATAGAACAAATCATTGTTTATAGGTTACACCGGCATCATACTTACACCTGGGGTTTTTTTTCAAAGGAGGAAGGCAACAGTAAGAGTTTACAAACGCAACTAATAGCATCTGAATCATTTTGTATTTCAGAACATTTTGTGATGTGACTACATGTGCAGTAAGAGGGAAAACAACATGTTTGCAGCCGACTCCTACAACAACAGATATGAAAAGCTTATCCCTCTTCTCTCCTGCACACACAGACACAGACTCGCGGCGACTACAAACGCCACCATTGATGAGCACCTGGTTGTGTGTGTGTGTGTGTGTGGTGTGTGTGTGTGTGTGTGTGTGTGTGTGTGCTTGTGTGTGTGTATGTGTGTTGTGTGTGTGTGTGTTTTGCATCGCCCCGGGCATCAGACCTGGTTTAAAACAACCACGAGATACACGCTGTGGACTTATTTTCTGGAAGAAGAGGCAGCCTTTTGTTTGAGCCTGATGAAAGCACCACATTCCTTTATTGAAAACGCTACCCCAACAAGCCGTTTCAATATCTCCTCAACTCCAGATCAGGCAGTCTCTGAAACCCCACGGGCATTCGCAGAGACGTATGAGTGTGTGTGTGTGTGTGTTGTGTGTGTGGTGTTGTGTGTGTGGTGTGTGTGTGTGTGTGTGTGTGTTGTGTGTGTGTGTGTGTGTGTGTTGTACCTGAAGAAGCTGTGATTTACTCCACACAGACTTTCCACAGCCTTTGGCAGAAGCGTGATTTCTGGAGTTTGAAACCCACCTGTGCTCTCAAACTGCTTCCGTCTGTCAAAAGGAACATGAAACGGGGTTAATACAGACAACGGAAAATGAAGTTAAAAGACTAACGAGTACTTGTAAAGCACTATGTTTTCATCTTCAAGGAGTTCACTTCCCAAGAAAAGTAATTTGATTTTCAATATAACTTTTTACTAACGTACATTAATAGGTGAATCGATATCTTCTTTCTTAAATCTAGCTATGTCGTTTTGAATTAGCCTATTTTGAGGTTATATCAAATAATAGTACATATATGATAATAAAAGAGGCCTATTTTTAGGGGATTCCAGAACTTAGATTTGTTCCGTTAAAATGTAAGTACAACAGAAAATAGTGTCATTTTTTATCCATCGCAAAGAACTCACGCTTCGTGGCAAGTACAGATCCCTGTTTATGAATTATTTTGTGTGTAGGGCCGAATAAAATCGAAGTTGTTGTGTTGTTTTGGAACTTTAGTCAGAGGGCCAGCTAGGTTTCTCTCCTGGAATGTAAGACTGTTAGTTCACATTGTAGTTTTTTCAGAATGTTTACACACCAAATCTTTCAGGATGGAACAAATAACAGACACTTTAGGATGTTCTGGGTTTCTGCCATATATGATGCTGATCCCAGTGGTTGATTCTTCCACATCTCTGAACCACCCAGTGTCTCAACCTCCTGAACCAAAGTATATCCTAACTTTTGTTTAACTTCGTGCTTTTTAATGCATGTAACATTAACTTGTTCTGTGGCTCTTTTTTCTGCTGTAACTACGTACATATCTCCCTCTGTGGAAGACTAATAAAGGTATTCCTGATTCTGAAAGATCCCCCCCCCCACCCACCCCTTTTTATTTTTTGTATTAAATGTTCTTTTATCTTATTTTCTTTTTCATATCTACCTTTTGGGATATTTTTCGACTTCTTTATTTATTTCCATTTGTATTATATACTTTCATGTCTTTCTTTCATAAATGGAGCTGAATGAAAATGGAGAAAAACTGTTGGCATAAATGTGAATATATTTGTATGATGAAACTGAAACAGAAATAAAAACCAAGTAAAAAAACCTCAATGATAATTAGAAACCATTACAAACCTACACATATTTGTGCGAAAACCAAAATACGTATATTCAAGACTCTCCAAAGCACCAAGAATCCAATAGTTAACACAATGAATATCAAACTCAAATTTCTCCTATGGGTTTTTCATTTCACACTTTTTGCGTTTGGTCCAGGTCATTTTGTCGTGTAGAAAACAGTTCTCTGAGCACACACCTCTCCTGGTCTGATCTTAATGTAGAAGTTGTTCCTCTTGTATGAAATCTTGAGGATTTTGGGCCAGGCGAAGCGGTTGATCCGCAGCCTGTCTTTGTAAACCAGGAGTCCGTTAGCGCACACACCTAGCATGATGTCCACGCCCTCAGAATCCTGTAGGAATCAAAAACACACATAATATCATGAAATAGTTCATGAATCCCTGATAAACATGTGTGTGTGCCGCCTGCTCGTCCATATCAGATCATGCTGCACACAGATTGATTTTTAAAGTAGTCTGCTTAAGCTCAACAGGAGCTCAATTAGCACACACACAACATTCAGTACAACTCTAACATGGTTACAGGCAGACTAACTCACTGACAAAGCTTTTAAGTCCAAGGCCGTGTGGTAATGGTATTGATTACAGCAGTGCATTCACACAGGGAAAATCTGTTGGGACTAATGGAGGAAGTTGATAATGGCCATTGACCGAGACACATAAACACATCACATGACCTTCACATGCTGTCAGCGGCTCGTCGATCGCTGCCATATACATGTTAGCACTTTGGCACAGACAGAATGGAAATCAAATTGACCACTTGCTGTTTGTGAGTAAATAAGGACTGCACAGTTACTTCACAGTCTGTCCTCAACTCTTTATATATTTACTTGCCAGCTATGGTGTAACAATCTAAATTGACATAAATGAATAAATATTGATAAATAGTATTAAAAACTGAACTGAAATATGAAACATCCACCCAAGAATATTTGCAGATAGCATGGCTTAAGTTTTTAGTGCAGTCATTTTCTGTAATAAAGACAGTGAAAAGATTTGTTTCACTAATGAACATATTGTTATAAGGTAAACGTTTTTTATTGTATTTGTACAGCGCTTTATCTTTGTGACTTCTCAAAGCGCTTTACATTTACAACTCATTATTCCCCCATCAACCTGATTCATGCATTTAAATCGAGTTGAATTGAACCAGCAAAACCAATATTTTGAAAAAATGTTGGGTTGAAACACATTTTATGATGACCAATGTTATTTTCCGATGTGTCGTAATGTGATTAAACCGGTTCAGAATGAAACCAATTTCAGTTTTTTTTTTGTATTTGAATTAAACATATCGAAGTGCATTAGTGTTTGTTTCAATATGATTGATAATTTAGTCTGACATTTAGCGTTTGAAAGGGTTCCTCTGTGGGTCTTGGCGTCATGAAACTTGCAAAAACACAAATTGATGACACGGGACAGAAATAGCTCTGCCCCCTGAATTCCCACAACTTTGCTTTGCCAGAAGAAAGATGCAACATTGGAAACGCTGTCTGTGCTGGTCTCATTCCCCCCCCCCGGTTGTCCCTCTGTGTTGCAAACAAGTGGAGCATGCTCTTAAAGGGCACTCGCCTCTTTCTTTCTTTCAAGGATCTGTCCCCATGTTATGTCTTTGTCTCCTCTGCATCCTCCGCCTCACATCCTCTCCTTCTATTTTCAGAGTCTCCCCCTCTCTCTCTTCTCATGCATATTTCCCCCATTTTTCAGACACAAAAATACTCGGACGCACATGGAAACATGCACGCACTCTGCTGATGACCTGCTCTCCCTGTGAGAGAGAGAGACTGGCTGTTCCCATGGCAATGGCCTCCATGTTTGTACAGCTGACACACACATACACTCACACAGACACACACAGATGCAGTGACCCGAACATGCAGACACACTCTTTCGACATCAAAGAAATGGTGCTACTCCCCTGATGTTAACAACAATGGAGGGGAGAGGAGAGGTGAGGAAAGGACAAGGACAAGAAAAGGAGAGGAAGAATGAGAGAAGAGGAACAGGCCAGAGAAGCAGATCAAAAAAGATGAGAAGAAGATGAGAGGAGCAAAAGATGAGGAAATATGAGGGGTGAAAGGAGAAGAGAAAAGAAGGAGGACAAGAGAGGTACAAGAGGAGAAGGGGGGGAGAAGAGGAATGGGAGATGAAGAGGAAAGGAGAGGAAAAGGAGGAAGGTCAGAGGATATCAAGAGGAAAAGATAGGAGAAGAAAGTAAAACATAAATGGAGAGTAAGAAAAAAAAGGAAAAGAGATAAGAGATGGAATAGAAGAAGAAGAAGCGAAGGAGAGAAAGAACATAGCAGGAGGAAAAGGAGATGGCATTTCTTTCTTCAAACCTTAGCATGGTGCAGGTCCACCCCGTACATGGAAAGCTTCTTGGCATTTTCCAAAAACTGGACGTCGGCTAGTGCCGGTGTCATTCCCCTAAACACCCAGAAAAAGGCAAATGACTACAAACACCCAAACATTTACAATAGTATGATAGCATAAATCCATACAGTTGGAATATATGGAACAGGGACATAACCGAGTCATGGTCCATTTACTACAATAAGGAAACGATGTACAGATTTAAAATAACACACAAAAAACATACATCCTTGTCCCGGTCTACTTTCGACAACCTGTATCTCTGACCTGTGGGACTTGTGGAGTTCAAGAATCTTCTCCTCCATCTCTTTGTTCTGATTGGGCGCAAAGGTCAGCTGACCGACGTTGTCCAGAGGCCGAGGCTGGTCGGGTTCATAGTCACCGGCTTCTGCCTGAAAAACCAAAAGGAGACGTTAAAATAATACTTAGGGACACCTAAAACGATACAATGATATTTTCTGTTCAGAAGAAGGGCGTTGGGGTCATAGCCAGTGTTGTGGGCAAGCCATTACATGTTATTATGGTGTGTTGATTCACAGAGTTTGAGCACCATATTTGAGCCAATTTTTAAGATTGTAGGTAAAGCCTTTGAAAACATGTGGAAACTTGTATCCATACACCATGTATTGTACCTGCAGAGTGTACGACCCCAGCAGAGCGTGAGTGACAAAGGAGCAAGGCAGTCGTCCCGAAGCCACATCTTCACGGAGCTGCAGACACAACAGGTACCTGCATGAGAGGAAAGAAGGGAATCAGGCTGGGCTTAAGTCTAATCAAAAATTCTAATCCAGACTTTGTGACTGAAACCGGCTCCATCGTTCGTGCTAATGATAAAAAGATCAGTCAAAGGTCCTCCTGTGAGGCCCGAGCAGACGGGGTCAGCTGGTGCAGATTAAATGTCTTTGTTGGTGCCGTGTCTGGTGTAGGATTTCTTTTAGTTTGCTGGTACACTGGTTTGTTGGTATAACCTTGCGTCTAATCCTCGCCATGACATACCCAAACTCGTAACGTGCAGTTAGTGAATTGTCCGGCACTGTGAGCTACCCCCCTAAAGTTCATTATGTGAATAGAGCTTCTGTGTGAATGACTGATTCAGACACCTCAGGGTGCTGGTAAATGGGTCTGAAAATCTCATTCAAAGTCACCTTGGCGGGACATGCTGATGTGGAGGCTTTAACACCAGTCATCCAAATACAGGGCTTCTTTATACTTAGTAATATGTGGCCTCAGGACTTTAATCCAGCATGTTAATATGGTGTAAAACATATTGATTCTTAAATATGATAATGTACAATAATAAAGCCTTTGGCAAACCCTCTGAAAAGAGACATTCAATGGGGCCATCAAATGTTTTTTCAGCTTTCCCATCGTATGTTTTAAAGTTTTTTTTGTATGTAAATGGTCTGCAAAGGCTAAAATCCAAAACTTTCTCATGCCTGAAACACTTTGATTGTAATCCTTAGATGTATTCTGTAACAAAGTGACATCACTATGTAACACGCCATTTATTTTGGCTAGCGATCACACAAATTGTATGTGATAGAGATGTGCCGCTCCTTGGCCTAAGCAGTTGACCAATCATACCAGAGTCGGCCAGCTAACCAATCAGAGCAGATTGGGCTCTGGTTTCAGACAGAGGGTGAAAAGAGATGCTGTAGCATTAAAGCATGGAACCACAAATATGAACATGAAAATGAGTGTAATACGGACCCTTTAAATACAATTCTATTGAAAAAAAAAATGTTGTTTGTACTCTAGGTGAGTGAATGCAATTTAGTGAGTGTGTGTCCTCAATTAGCCTTCAGCCACAACCATCAGAGAAAGTGTTTTCGCCCCATTAGCCGAACACTCCAACCTAAATGCTGAGTGCCCTGAGCATGCCCAGGTTTGTGTGTGTGCATTCAAATGTACAAATATAAATGAGTTTGCAATGTGCGCCATGCCAACTTGTGTTTTTCTTAACTTTTGCTATAGGCCTTACAATCCATTTCGAAAGTGACATTGTAATGCTGCAGCTAAAGATTTAGTAAATACCATAAAAGGGGCTGCAAGAAAAAGTGTATGTTGGACTTAAAATCACCAGGTAGACAGGAAACAGAACTCCAAATAAATGTTACTCCGTGTCTGCTGAATGTCTAAATAGAACTGTCTGCTAAAGAATTCACTTCAAAAGGGAATAAATGTTTTTTTACAGTTTCCTTTCTTTCTTTACATTGTATCATAAGAAACTAATAATGTAGCTTTATGGAAAAGGTGGTACAAATCTAAGATGTGTGTGTGTGTGTGTGTGTGTGTGTGTGTGTGTGTGTGTGTGTGTGTGTGTGTGTGTGTGTGTGTGTGTGTGTGTGTGTGTGTGTGTGTGTGTGTGTGAGAGAGAGAGTAGAGTAGTAGTGTGTGTGTGTGTGTGTGTGTGTGTGTGTGTGTGTAGGTGTGTGTGTGTACCTGGTAATGTCTTCAGTGAGCAGTGAGGGGTCGGGGGGGTAAAACTTGACGCTGAATGCGAACTTCCAGTTGTTACCTGGAGGAAGAGAGATTATTAATTAGATCATTGATTTACAGCACAGCATCATTACATATTTAAAAAGTACAATGGAAGTATGTCTATATGAGAACAAAAGTGTAAAATGGTAAAACCAGCGTTAAGTTTTATATTTCTATGCTAATCCATCCATTCATTCCTCTGCCCATATCAGGTGTGTGTGTGTGTGTGTGTGTGTGTGTGTGTGTGTGTGTGTGTGTGTGTGTGTGTGTGTGTGTGTGTGTGTGTGTGTGTGTGTGTGTGTGTGTGTGTGTGTGAAAGTGTGTGTGTGAAAGTGTGTGTGTGAAAGTGTGTGTGTGAAAGTGTGTGTGTGAAAGTGTGTGTGTGAAAGTGTGTGAGTGTGTGAAAGTGGGTGTGAGTGAGGGCAGCTAATGCGAAACAGCTTTTAGATAGTGCTAAGCCTGGTCCATCACACACACATATACACACAAACATATACACACATACACACACAAATACAGCAGCAGATCAAAACTGGTATTGCATAACCTCATCCTGTCTTTATCTTAAAAAAATTATCTCCATCATCATCATAAACAAAAGCACGCAACATCATCATAATATCGTTCCTTTTGGATTTCCTATAAACTTTCATTCGAATAAAACGTCCTGTTATCCTTCCCACAGGAGGCCAAATTGCCCTGCATGCCAACCATCCCCCCCTTCTTTCTGCGTCCCTCTGCCTAACAACTACACACACATGCCCACACACTCAATATAAAGATTGCGATCACGTCGTGTGTAAAATTCCGTCAGGGAGAAGCTGCCATCACATCGAGACCATTTCATCCTCCAAGGTCACAACCAAGTCCACAGTAACACATACCGTACACACACACACACACACACACACACACACACACACACACACACACACACACACACACACACACACACACACACACACACACACACACACACACACACACACACACACATTATCTCAAACACAGCACACACACACACACACACACACACACACACACACACACACACACACACACACACACACACACACACACACACACACACACACACACACACACACACACACCATTTTTGCACAGTTGCAGATTAGGATTCATCTTAATTTGTAGTTTTAGTGTTATATTTTTTCATAGAATGATATTCATTTATGGCTGGCAAGGACAATACCTTTTAGCGTCGAAACCGGATAAAAAACAGATGGATGCAAGAGAGTACAACACTTACTGGCTGGTTTTATTAATACAAATTGTCACTTTATTGCATAAATGCTCGCATTTTGCCTTTCACAAACATCATTTTTAACTGCCACCAAAAAATGATCCTCTATCTGCTTGCTGTGCACAAAACGAAGCACTCACCTGGTAAAACTGGGCAGTAAAGTGCCAATCTCACAGCACCATAAATAAATATTATATATTTTTTGACATGACATTTAAAGCTTCATTCTAACAGATGGTTCAAATGAAAACCCTTGGTACAGCACTATTCCATTTCATTCTAATAGTGCTGTACCAAGGGTTTTCATTTGAACCATCACGTATTCTTTCCACAGATTCCATTTTAGTCGCTTAACGTACAGAAATGGAAAATATCGAGTGCGTCTGGCTGTATGGACGTCAGGGCTCTCGACTAACTTTTTTCACCATCCTCCCGGAACCGTCCCGAAATACAATCTAAGCCGGCCCGAAATTAATGTGGACCGTCCCGAATTTAAAATATTAGTTTTTCTACTACTTATCATTAGTTAAAATCATTCAAAGTGACCTTTAACATAAATAAAACATCATACAAATCATTAGATGATAATTCATCAACCTTTTTATTTGAGTAAATCAGTCAATCACATGAACAAAGGCCAAATATATTTAAACAAACACACAAACGAGAAAATTACTCTAATATTGAATCAAATCAAGTCCCATCCAATTAACAAAAAAATCCAACACTCTGTCCTGAAGACAGAACCCAGAGTAACCACTAACCAGGATGACAGTCTGTAACACAGTCAGGAGACCTTTACAAAGTGCCCCGCCCCCTCGCACACAGACAGGAGAGAGAGATCTCGTCTGGATTGGAAAGCTCGAAAATACATCATAGACGCATGTTGTAGTCTTATTGCATATTAGAAACGGAGTTGGATAAACTAAAACTGCGATATAATGTTTATGTAGCAATACTACATATGACATATATTTTTTAAATGTCTCCAGTACCGATAAAAAGTCAGATAACGTCGGAGCTTAACGTTACCACTGTCTTTAATAATTCCGGCCCGGGCGAAGCCCATTTAATACCGGGGCTCGGTACCCATCCATACATGGGGAGAGGCCCAGCATATTGCTAAGGACTAAATACGATGGAGGGTTCTCATCTCAGCCTTATTACCCATAGGGGATGAAGAGGAGTAAGTAAATAAAGAGGCCGGCGCTCCAGGGTCTGGTTCTGCTGTGCGTTTTTTTGATGTAACGGTAAAACATTTCAGAATTCCTCCACGGGATACCATTGTCATTTTACATCACTCAACCCGCGAAATACACACACTCAGTACATAGCCTACTGTAGATAGACCCGCGAATTTGCGGGCCAGGAATTCGCGGGCACAGCCAGCTGTGCGGCTGGCTGACAGCCATGGGCACAGCTTACGTGTGTGTGTGTGTGTGTCTGTCTGTGTGTGTGTGTGTGTGTGTGTGTGTGTGTGTGTGTGTGTGTGTGTGTGTGTTCGCGGGTTGCTAAATGTTTTGTGTGTTTATGTTGACAAGGAGGTTTAATAACTGTGTGCTGTGCTACACACAACTTGCAGTCGATTTCATTTTCATCTGCGTTTGTAGTAGAGTTAGCAGGGTATTTTTATTTTAACTCTCTTCCCAAATTCGTCCCAAAATTATTTTTTATCCTCCCTGACACTATTTTTTTCGGCCCCGGGACGACGGGACGTCCTTAAGCTCGAGCCCTGATGGACGTGTGTTGGTGTGTGGGAGTGAATTGAGTTTGTATGTTTTGTTGGCAGCGTTAAGTGCTTTGTGAGTCTCTCCTGTCCGTTATCTTCCTACACAACCACATGCCGCCCATCAATACTCCCCATGACGCATAGAATACACACATACTGACACACATGCTATCCCCCCCCCCCCCTCCTCCTACATCCACTACTCTCTTCCTGGCAACAATTCATCCCGTGTCATCCACAGGTCGTTCCCACTCAGGCTTCTTCGGGTTACTTTCAAAATAGACTCTGTATGTTTGAGTATATTGACAACTTGTCACAGAAAATAGAGGAACACTGTTTTGTTGAAAATGGTATTGCACAGAAATTCAATAATCTGTAGGAAGTACGATGTCAAATACAAAAGATAATTTTTTATTATCAAACTTTTTCTGTTGGGTTTATATCCAGAGAAGGACTGCATTGTTTGGCAATAGGTTAACAGCCCAAGCAGTACTCATTAGTTACGACTAATATTATCAAGCCTTCCCTGAGAAATAATATCTAACATATTACATTTAAGCCAGCATATATTTGAGAATATACGGAGGTCATTTATATTATTTATGTGAATTTCTGGATTTAACTGACAATCATATGGGCGACCAATTGCAGTGACAATGCACTTTGCAAGCTTGTTTATATTTTATTATAAACATTTTATATTTTCAATCTTTAACGATTATTATATTCCATTAAAATAGTCCACTATGAACCCAATTACCATTTGTAATACAGATTTAGCATTTGTGATTTTATCAAACTTTTTGTGTGTCCCCTTTGTAAGTGAATGCAGCGACTCTGATTCGTGGTACATGTATATCATATGAATGTAAAAGGCTGTAGTTTATATTCTTACAAATGTAAAGAAAAATGTATACCTTGCAAAAAATATAGGATTTTAGTGAAGCACACTTTCACTTATGATCCTATACTTTAGCGTAGACTGTTGCTGTTTGCTTTTATAACTGAATTGGCTGCTAAAGTACTTCCTGTATGAGCACAGTAAGACACCAAACACCATAAAGGTTGGCTGTGGAGAGTACATGCGCGCTGCTGTTAAACATTAACAACAGACACACGCACTGGACTAAATCCAGAGTCTCCAGCCTTTCTGCTCGGCTGCCAGCCCGACTCAGAGAGCGAGAGGAAATCTTGTTCTCATTATCCGTCAAAGTGACATCTTAGAAGGGGCTCACTGGCTGGGATTAATATTTGACTGCTCTGAATGTTTTTTGTGTTACAATGGATTTGACTTCAGACAACTCAGATTTGTGGGTTCAAGTTTCTTGGAAGCAACTTTTTCTCTCTTATTTTTCAAATTTCTTTTTCAAGTTATATTAGTTTTTCCTTCATCCTCTCTCTATTTAGCTCATGTATTTTCATTGTGTCAAACCTAAGTTTTTTTCATGATTTTTCTCTATTGTTTGACCTAATGCTCAAGTCATGATTCCACAGACACAAACAACAGACACACCCACAAAGTGTTGGTCATGGTAATCTGAATTGTGGGAAGGAGTCTAACCTACAACAACAAACCCTTTAGACTGACTTTTTTTTCATTTTTCAGTCCACCAAAATGACAATTTCGGAAAGCTCTCTTTTAAATCCTTACATCATAAGGTTTAAGGCTTGCACGTGGTACAGCTTAAAATCATTCCAAAAATGAAACAAGGACCCCAAAAAACAACTGTTTAGGTCCCAGCTGGGTATGTAGTGACGTAGCGTGGCGACTGCTGGGTGTAAACCGATGGTAGATTAGAGCAGATTGGTGTCAAACCTGTCATTTGTGTGGTGCTGTGTCTGTACACACACGGGCACAAATATACAACTCGCATGATACAGCCTTTCAGTATCTACACACACACACACAGAAAAATGCACACAAATGAAGACCAGTTGCATATCGCTGATCCACAAACCACAGGCACACACAGTGAAACTGCCACAAGCCAATGAGGCATGCATGTTCACCACACGCTTACACACACAGCCAACTACCTCACATACACTCGTTCAAAAATAACACTTTATGAGCCAAAAGTATATGTTTTTACAAAGCCTTTCCCTTAAAAGTGCAACTTGGAGTTTTGAGGCTGGGTGTTAAAGCCTGTTTTTACTTCAAATATGAAGACCAAGACAAAAATAGCAAGAGTTAAGATTTTCCTGAAGAGAAGTCAGCTAAAGTTTTGGGCATTTTTTTCAAAACCCTTCTAAAGAGAATGACATTGTACAGCAAGAAGTACCAAAAGAAGTTCACAACTTCTAATTAAATCCTCAACAAATACAATGACAAAGTGGAGACACACCAAGCTAATTTGTCGTGATTCTAAAAAGATGTCATTTGTAATTGTGCTCTGAACGTAATATAGAGACGTCATCACAAATGGAGGACACCTTTTTTTATTGTTACCAACACATGCGTCCATTCAAAAACAAAACAAAGCTTTGACGATGCTTGGTTGCTCCACACACTTGACACCACACCGCACCTTTCCCCGCATTTATAAATGAACAGCTGTTCATAAAGCGAGCAATAAATAATGAAGTAAACAGGTCACACCTTGGTAACTGCGTTTATTCTGCTAACTTCGCAAAGACTGCTGTCGTGAGGTTTCAAATGTCTCCGGCTTTGTTTGTCTTTATTGTGAAGCTGTTTCTTTCATTAATTCATTATATATATTTAATGTATCGCCTTTCGGCAGAGAAGTTGGGGCTACCGTGTTATGTGAAATATATTGTTGATGAAGGCAGAGGGAGACATGGATAGATGAATGTGTGTATGGTTGGATGTATGGATAGATGTGTGTATGAAACTTAAAGAAGGCAAAAAAGAAACTTACTGCGTATCTGTCTCTTGATTTCCTTAGTGGGATCCAACCAACACTGTAGAGAGGTAGAGAGACACAGAGCAGGAAGAAAGAAAAATTGCTGTGAAATAATGTATGTCACAAGACACTGTACAGACATCCATGTCTGGAGTTCCTTTATGTGTACATTACTGACTTTTTGGGGATACAGTACATCCTGTGTGTGTGTGTGTGTGTGTGTGTGTGTGTGTGTGTGTGTGTGTGTGTGTGTGTGTGTGTGTGTGTGTGTGTGTGTGTGTGTGTGTGTGCATACCTTCTGTTCATGGCTGTCAATGTAAGCGAGTCCAAAGTAGTCTTTCTCCATGAGGTTAAGGTGCTCACACACCTTAAAGAAGAGGAATTGGCCCTTGGCACGTTTCTGCAGCAAGAGAGAGGATTATAGATTAGAGTGTGTACTGTACTGTATTCATTTGATGGGAAAACAAAATGTAAGGGGACGTATTGTGCTCATTTTCAGGTCTTATTTTAATGTTGGGTTATAGCCAGAACATGTCTACATGATTTAACTTTAGAGAACTAACTGTTGATGTCAAGTGTCATTCTACAGTTTGAGAAGACCCATTTAAAAACTCGTAAAAAACTAATTTTGAATAGCAGTTAAACACTTGCTCAATCCTCTCAATGCGTCCTTGTTTCTTCTGTTTCATTACATCTCTCCCTTTATTTCCCTGTTTCCCTGTCTGTCTCCGGGCAACACATTCCTTCAAAGGCCCGATAGGGCTTTAGCCATAAAATCCTCCACACTCAGCTATGACAATGACATTTAGCACACATCCATGCACCCGAACACACACACAGCTGCGACCTTTAGACGAATAGAAGGTCAGACAGGGAGCGGGTGGAAAGAGGGAAAAAAAAGATGAGAAAATAATGTTCATTTAATTTCAATAAGTCAGCACAGCTTCAGTCCGGCGCTCGACACACACACACACACACACACACACACACACACACACACACACACACACACACACACACACACACACACACACACACACACACACACACACAC